TCAACAAAACTGAATATATGTGAATTCATATATTAATACTAGACACCTTAAAGATAATGTGTACCAAAAATCTTTGTCATATCTTTAACATAATTTTCTAGCCTTTCGTTTTGGAGCTTTGATGCAGCCATCATCTTCTCAAGGTGCAAACAGGAATTAAACTGCTTTGGTCATGTGACAATTTGCACTAACCATGTGAAACTGCACGTATTTAATTGAGACCCTTTATTTTTTCCATATTGGCAGGAAGTGCTATAAAACATCAGTCAGTACGGTTTTTAAAGCTTTATAAATGAAAACCTTTTTATGGTCACTATTGTGACCGGTGGGATTAAATGGGTTAAGAAATGAAATGCAGCTGCGTGTTGCTCGGAGACGAACAGTTCTGCTTTGTCTTTCGTTGGCAAAATTGAGCAAAACAGACAACATTGTGTCTAAAATAACACAATATTAACTTCTTACTTATTTAACTTTGTATAAGATCAGTATCACATTTGCACTCATGTGATATTGCACTCATTGCTCGTGTGATATTGCTTAACTATATGATGTAAATATGAGACAAAAACTCAAACAGGGGCATTTTTTCCCCATATCTTGAATTTTAGGGACATTCTATCTACGTTCTCTAGGCTCCATCACGCAGTGAGTTCTTGCCCTGCCTCATGTTTGTCATAAATCAACTGTAGGAAATGTCAGATGACCCACGTAGGTATGAGGCGGAGCAAGTGCGTTAAAAGCGTTAATAATTGTAACGTGTTATTTTTTACCATAATTAATTAATCTAATTAACGCGCTAAATCCCCAGCCCTAATCCGTTCTTGTCTTAGAACAACTTTGATTAACGTTTTTGATCCACTTCAAATGTTGACTACTGTGTATATGTATGTATGTATGTATGTATGTATGTATGTCACATTTTGATAAATAAATTACAGTTGCAAGATATAAAGACACTTTGTGAGATATCACAATGTGATACATAAACTTGCAATTATGAGAAGCCAAGCTGCAGCTGAGCGATATAAAGGTGCATTGCGAGAAATTCACGCTATGAGACATAGTCACAATTATGAGAAATAACGTCACAGTTCAGAAATATAAATTTACATTGTGATAAAAAGTGACATTGTGAGTCACTATGATTTTAAATCACAATTGTGAAAAACAAAGTTGAGATATAAAGTTACATTATGCAATAAAAGTCACAAACTCTGAGATATAGTCACAATTGTGGGATAAAAAATGACATTGTGAGTCACTATGATATTAAATTGCAATTGCGAAAAATAAAGTTGAGATATAAAGCTACATTATGCAATAAAACTCACAAACTCTGAGATATAGTCGCAATTGCGATATAAAGACACTTTGCAAGATGAAGTCACAATGTGAGATATAGTCAGAATTTCGAGAAACAGTGTTTCAGTTGCGAGAAATATAGATACTTTATGAGAATGTCAAACTATGAGATAAAGTCATATTTACAAGAAACAGTTCTAAAATATAGTTACATTACGCAATAAAAAGTCACATTGTGAGAAAGTCACACTTTAATGTATAAAATCACAGTTGTGAAAAACAAAGTTGAAATTTAAAGTTACAATATGCAACTTTCAGATATAGTCAAGAAACGTTTAAGTTGCAAGCAAATTGAGAAAGTCACATTGCGATAGAAAGATACAAAAGTCACAATCATGCAAAACAGTCACAATTGCAAGATAAAATCTTCTTTACACATTGTGGAATAAACATTTGTATTGCATGATAAAAAGTAACATATGAAAGATGTAAAGACATTGCAGAATTAAGTCACATTATGAGATATAAAGTAGCAACTATGAAAAACAGACCTGCAGCTATGAGATATTAAGTGAGGTTGGGAGAAATAAAGCCACAAGGACCTTTGAGGGAGAAACAGGCTTCCATACTATTTCCCTCCAGTCTGTGCTGGATGAGGGCTGAGAGAAATGCAGACTGCAGGGTATGGAAGAAAAAGGACGAGCGAAGTAAAGGGCACAAACTGTTTTCTGTGTAAATAATGTGCAAAGACACTCAGAGAACGTCAAAACATGGAGGCCAATGTTGGGGCAGCCTGTCACCGCAATTCACCATCACACATCACCCAAGGGGTTTAGTCATGCTGTGATGTTGTGGTGCATTCTTTGTGTGTGCGTGGCTGTTCAGATGAAGTATTTTATTGCCAAAGTTCCTTAACGCATGGCACCATCACTTTCACTGTATAAATAGTAAGCTCTGGCCTAGGACTTCAAGCTATGCACAACACTAACAGATTCCTTGTGCACCGTTAAGAAAAGTGATGTCTCCTGATAATATTAGAAAGCATGTTATCAGGTCGGCAAAGAGAGATTCAAATACTTTTTCCAGCTGGCGAAGGTGAGCTGAGGTCAGCTTGAGTATGTTCACAGTCTTCATTTGAATTCCTCAAGTTACGGAGTGTAATATTTCATATGTATGTCTCGTCTCCAGCTGCACATCTGTGATTGCTACTGCATATCAGTGCATATACTGTACAGCTCTGGAAAAAATTAAGAGACCACTCCAATTTTTTTTTCTTAAATCAGCATCTCTACATGTATGGCAGCCATACCATTCCGGTGTCTGTTGAAATCCAACACAGGCACACCTCATTCTGTTTAATGAAGTACTGATTAGGTGATCACCTCAACCAAATCCCTCTACCAGGGTCCACCAGTGACTATCACTATCCTCTTGCAATATGACCAACTGGATGGCAAAACAGTGCTAGTAGTACCTCAAAAGTAATTGGAATCAAATAATAACTATTGACCATGCCAAAATGTTCTGAGTGAGGAAAAGAAGGGTTCAATTCTGGCTTTATTGGCCAAGGGATACAGTGAGCATCAGGTTTCTTCCATCCTTAAAATTTCAAAGACAGTGGATCACAAAAACAAGGTCAAGCTGCAGATATTGGGGACAACAAAGCTACAGACCAGAGGGGGCGAAAACAACTCTCCATTGACCGGGATGACCACCAACTCATTCGAATGTCACTCAACAACCATAGGAAAACATCAATTGACCTACAAAAAAATGGCTAACAGCCAAGACAGTTCGAAACTTCATCAATGAGAAGTAAAGAAGAGCCAGACTGAGATTTGCAAAAGACCATAAGGATTGGACCTTTTCTGATGAGTCCAATTTTCAGCTTTGCCTGGTTGTCTAATGTTTAGATCTGGAAAGTCCTACCAGCCACAGTGTCTCGCACCCACTGTGAAATTTGGTGGAGGATCGGTGATGATCTGGGGTGCTTCAACAAGGCTGGAATGGGGCACATTTGTCTTTGTGAAGGGTGCATGAATCAAGCCACAAACAAGGTTGTGCTGGAAGAAAACTTGCTTCCTTCTGCTCTGACAATGTTCCCCAACGCTGAGGATTGGTTTTTCCAACATTTTCCAACTGTGTTGTATGGACAATGCTCCATACCACACAGCCAGGTCAATCAATGTGTGGATGGAGGACCACCAGATCAAGACCCTGTCATGGCCAGCACAATCTCCAGACCTGAACCCCACTGAAAACCTCTGGAATGTGGTCAAGAGAGAGATGGATGGTCACAGGCCATCAAACAAAGCCAAACTGCCTGAATTTTTGCACCAGGAGTGGCATGAAGTCACTCAACAGCAATGTGAAAGGCTGGTGGAGAACATGCCAAGACGCATGAAAGTTGTGATTGAAAATGTAGGGTTATTCCCCCCAAAATTGATTCCTGAACTCTTCCTAAGTTAAAACATTAGTATTGTGTCAAATAAATGCTCTTAATGACAGTATATTTATATAAATATATATCATCATTTATATATCAGTCACCACTGATAAGCTACCACTAAATATTGTAGAAACTTAATTTGCTGTAAAGTTACTTTGCAATGATTTGTATCGTGAAAAGCGCTGTACAAATAAAATTGAATTGAATTGAATTTATTTGGAATTTGGTAGAAATGTTGTCAGTAGTTTATAGAATAAAACAAAAATTTTAATTTTACTCAAACACATACCTAGAAATCGTAAAACCAGAGAAACGTCTCCAGGTTACGTATGTAACCATGGTTCCCCGAAGGGAACGAGAGACTTGATCTGAGACACGACTTGTTTGAGTGCGAGTGTGCTGAACTTCAGTTGCCTGACTGAGCGGTTCAAATGACGCAGATCTAAAATAGGACGCCACTCTCCATCCTTCCTCGGAACCGACTGTAGAACTCGTACTCTGCTACGTGAGGAGGGACCACCTCGTTGGCCTCCTTCCTCAATAGAGTAACTACTTCTGTTCCATGACCAGAGCCTGCTCGGGACCCACCATAGTGGGGATGACCCCGTTTAAACTGAGGAG